GTAATATCCGAAAACTACAATGATATCGATATGCAAGGACAATTAGACTCATCTTCTTTTTTCATCCTATCGTTCACAGAATAACTGTGCGATAAAATAAAAACTTAGAGAAATTGAAAATAGATCTATAATTTCAATTTCTAATATTTCATTAGAAGATTCTGATGACATTATGAAATTAGAAGAATCACTTCTATCAATTATCTCTTAAAGAATTCTATCATAAATAAATTTTTTTATTGATTATAATCATAATTCAAATTAATCAAATTTATAATATATATCTTATCTAATTATTAAATAATCTAATATTGAGTTCTGAGTGCTGTAAACTGTACGTGGCTTGCACGTCCAACTTTGTTGTAGAAGGACGAAGGGTTTTTTCTTTACGAAGTAACAGCCATCAGATTCATAGGAAGTTTGTGTTGTCTCGTCTTCATAGCTTCATGGTGTTTTGTTTCATCGAGAATATGAGATTGCAATTCCTTTCAACCGAAAAGTGGAGTATATATATATATATATATATATATATATATATATAGGGAGAGGAGAATAGGAGAGGCAAACAAAGACTCTAGCTTATGAGGCTCTAAATCCCTTCTATTTATAGAGGCTTTCTATCAAAACCTAATGGATCCTCCCCTAGTGGGTATTCGATCTGCATCCAATTACCCAAGCCCTTTAGATTAGTAAATTTCTATCCGATAATCTCTCATAGGTTCTTATTGGATCTCGTCCATGGGATCCAATAATTCAGAGACTTATTGGATATCCAATAAGACATGAGCTCTAGCGGATATCTCATATCCGAACCTCTACTCATCGCAATGTCTACCATATGTGTGTGACCCTCTAGGCCCAATATCAAGTTGGTCGTGAGTCATACATGTCAGAACTCCTTTTAACTTAGTGAATTATTATCTCTGTAATAATTCACTCGACTCATCGACTATGGACGTACTAGGCCACTACGCCGTAGTCCCAAAACGATACAAGAGAATCTAATCCATTGGACCTGTCTGTCCTCAGTTACCATGTACCTATAGTCCCTCATCCATCTAATATCCCAGAGACCGTATATCGAGCATGGTGCTATCAGACCCATACGATTTCTACGAATCTCGCTCTAATCGGATTCTCCCGGAGAACTCTTTCTCTCTCAACTCGAATGACCTTGGCAAGAGATTTGTGTGAGCAAGAACACATGAGATATTCTTCTCATGACGCCGAGAGTAGATGATCCTCTATCGACACTCAATAGTCCTCGTAAGGTCGATTGTCACTCGTAATGACCAGTTGTACTATATCTGGGACATCCAAACCTATAAGTCTGGTATCAAAGAGTGGAGCACTCATATAGGACATTCTTAGTGTCTCAAGTCTAAGGACCAAATACACCACTAGGACTATGGAATCGTTGTCTGATAATAAGATATAATCAACCATCCAGCATTCTAAAAGCGGATCAATCAATGAACTCATTCTCCAATGAGCACCGATACTGTATCCCTAGTGTCCCCACATGAGCAGCTATGAGACTAGCTGCATCCATCATATGAATGAGTATACAGCATACTAGTCTATCCAATTATCACAATATCCCTCTTAAGTAACCTATAACCGGGATTATTTAAGATCTGTGTTTAAAGGTGAATCGATCTCATTATTATGATCTAATCACGATGCGATTCCCATTGCACGAATCCAAGGACATCACAATATATACATGCATATATACAATAATCAATATAAAGTGATAAATATTAAAATATAATAAGTAAAAAGATTCCGTGTCAAGTCACACGTGCCATCACTCACGTGATTAACTTACTGGGCACCTATGACTAGCAGTCATTGCCTTAGATTGGCACTACATCACTACCTTTGATTGATGCCTATAGTATTGTCGCTACGACTGTGTTTGCTAGCCACGATCAGTGTTGACTAGCAAGTGCCGATATATATATATATATATATATATATATATATATATATATATATATATATATATA